CAGACATGTTTAGGAAGCGTTTGGGGCCTTATACGCTGAAAGCCCCACCAAAGCCATTCCACTGTGTCACGTGAGCCCAGCGCTGACTCAGCACACCTCCCACCGGCCGGCCACAAGCATGTCCTTGACGCACGTGATGGTGATGGTTCAGAGCTCCGGGAGGTTTAAGTGTTGCCTTGATTCCCGCTTGAATTTGTAGGGACCAGTGGCTGAGAACCAGTGGTACAGAGCGAAGAACGTCTTTGGAAGGCAGGGGGAACCACTGCAGGGTTCCCAGCTGGCAAAGTCTCTTGGGACGGGCTGTATTGAATTGACTGGGGATTTGTCTGATGGGCTCACATCACAGGAAGCCCAGGACTGCGGCCCCCAGCTATTAGACATCACTTTCCGGTTCCTTTCTCTCTCCTAGATTGCCCTACTCTAAAATCTGCCCCGGAGGTCAACAAAGGCACCAAAGAAACCGTCGTGGACAGTCGGCCCTCTGCTGAATCCCAGGTGAGGCCAGTGTTCTGAAGTGGTTCTCAAATGCGGGCGCTTCTCTTTCAGGGGAGCAGACCTCCCCCGTCCAGTTCAAGCGTGTCTCCGTTTCCTTTCAGTCCTGCTGGAGCTACGGGTCTATGAGTACCCCCCACCCCCCCCATGGAGACCCTTTCCCTGCTGCCCTGCTCTACAAGTCCCTGCGGACCCTGTGCTTCCTTGTCCTCCGCATCCTTTAACATCGTTCGTGTTTTCCCATCTTTCAGGAGTCTTCTTTATTAAGTAGTCTCTTTCATCTCCCAACGAGACACCGCCACTGTTATTTCACGAGTCAGTTCCAATGTAGAGCGGCCTTATAGCACACAGGAGAACCGGCCCATAGGGTTAGTGAGCCTGTACGTCTCCATGGAAGCAGACGGCCACATCTCCTTCCGAGCTGCTGGTGGGTTCAAACCCCTGATCTTTCGGTTAGCAGTCAGGCACGGTGCCCACTGTGTCGCCAGGACTCTTCATCTTTCTCTCCACTGTGGGCTTTTTCATGGGGAAAGACATGACTGTCTGCTTGCATAAAGACTGACGGACTTGGAAACCCTGGTGACAGTGCATTCTGCCCTCTGGGATCACTGTACGATGGAGTTGATCCAGACGGCCGTGGATAGTGGCTACTGACGGATCCGATACAACCCTCATGTCCTTTCATGTTCACCTGTATGGACACAGGAAGGTTGGCCTTGGTGTGGCCGCTGAGCCCGTTGACTCGTGCCAGCCTCAGCGAGGAAATCGCCCACAACGCTTTCCAAGCTGTAGTGTCAGGGAGTCGGTGTGCAACTGTCACTCATTCATCTGCACGGATAGAGCATTATTCGCTGTAGATAGCCCGTCTTGTCTTTCCCACCCCCTAAAAATGGATATTTGGGGTGCTTCCAGGTCTTAGATGTGATAAGATGGTTTATGAACCATGCCTGTGTGTGTGTCCCACACAGGAGCAATTATACTGACGTACAGGGGTTCTGGGTCCAAAATGGTCTCCTGAATTACATTCCTTTTAGCTGGTCATTAGAGATGTCACTCCGCGGGGGAAAGACTGGGCGTTCTACTCCCATGAACCTTGGAAACCCCCGGGGGTCGCTGGGATCAGCAGGGACTGGAGGCAGTGAGATTTTTTTAGTGAGAATACATTCTGTAGAGCACGTGGTTTTGTCAGGTGCCTTTTTAATGTTGTCGATTGAATGGCTATAAAATGGTAGTTGGTCCTTTTGATTTTTATTTCCCTGTTTATAATAAGAGCGAATTTCTCTCCATGTCGAGAGCTTTTTGTGACTTAACCTACTCAAACTCCCAAAGCTCGTAAGGTCCATATCTAGGAGCTAAACCCAGCCCCTCGTGCTGGTGCGTGTTGCCTGTGGGAATGGCTAGCCACGAGGGGGTCAGTTTGACCGCACAAACTGCTCCTTGGGAGACAGTTGAGACTCCGTATAGATTTACAGCCGCGGAAACTAGTCGAGGATTTTGGTTTTTCCCCCGACTTGTTTGCATTCTTGCTTGCTTGCTCTGTAAAGTGGTTCAACCGTGGTCTTTTCCCATCCCGACTCAAACCCGCCGTGTTTAGCAGTGGGGAGTGCTGGGGCTGTGTTGGTGAGTCAGTTGCAACTCCTGGTGAGCCCCGGTGAGCCCGAGCAGAACGGAGCGCCGTGGGATGCTGTTCGTGGCTTGCAAGCAAACTCCCAGGCCTTACTCCCACAGAGCAGCTGGGCACCACAAACCTTCAGATTAGCAGTCAAGTGCAAAGCGTCTGCATGACCTCGTCTCAAAATTGTCCCTGCTTCGTGCAGAAGACAAGACAAGGGAAGAGGCCTTGCCGTGTCTCAGAGCGCTCTACCTAGCTGAGCCTGCTTTGTGTTGAGTCTACTCTGTGAGGGGCCCCATCCCACCCCACCCCTGAGCCCTTAAGCCCCATGATCACCAGGAGACATTTAGGAGCATTTCTGGCATTTTAGGAGATGGTGACTTTAAGCGACATGCTGGTGGACTTCAGTGCAGACGAATGGTACGGCCTTAGCGCCGAGCAGAGGAGCCTGTACTGGGAAGTGACCCAGGAGAATTACCAGAACGTGGCCTCCCTAGGTAAGTAAGTGTCTGTCCTTCCAGTGCCCCCAGCCACTGCCCGCTAGAACTGGACTGTCCACTCTCAGGTGCACTTCCATCAGCACCGTCAGTCCACCAAGTCAACGTGCCTCAATCCAGCGCAAAGGCAGTGTTTTCGTATCAAAGGACCCCGTCAGTCACTGTTGGTGATAAAATAGCTAACGCGTTCCAGGGTCTGAATAGGGTGACATGTTGTCATCCTGACACTACGGGGTCTGGGTAAGCATTCTGCCACCAACCGGAGGGTTGGTCGTTCGAGCCCATGAACAGCTTCATGGGAGACGACTCAGTGATCTATTTCCGTAAATGTGACCCGAAACCCTTGCTCTGGGGGCCCGTTCGGACACATAACCCACCTAGAGGCAGAATGCAACCTCCCTCCTGGGTCCTAAGTCTGCAGCTTTTACAGAAACCAAGGAGCTCACCTTTCGGAGCTTCAACCACCAACCTATTGGTGACTAGCCAGATGCGTTAACCACTGCTCCACCAGGGCTCCTCTTAGAAAGATCAGAGGCCAGAAAACACGATGTGGCCATGTGGCTCTTGTCACACAGGGTCACTGTGATGGCCCCTGACAGCAACAGCGATGACCAACAGCCCCGGTCCTAGGCCGGGGAGGGGTGTTAGGATAGCCGGCTTCTGGAGGTGGGAAAATGCCGTGACTCGTCTAAAGCCACGGGGCGGAGTCAGAGTGTGAGGGAGTCAGCTCCCTGCTCGCTCGCGGGGCAGTGTTTCAGCTGGCGCTCAATGCCGTTTGTTAAGCGAAGGCTGCTGTTCCCTCTCTCGCCCACCCTGCTCGCACCGTGGCCATCAAGGCCACTGCTCCTCGCAGTGGCCCCCTCCCCAGTAGATCCAAACACGGCACCATCCTCACCCCTCTCTGGGCCGGCCGAGCCCCTCGTTACAGCCACAGTGTCAAACCAGCTCGTGGAGGGGCTAACCCTTTCTCGCTGGCCCTCGACTGAGCACGAAGCCCTTTGCCAGGGACCGGGCCCTCCTGAGGGCACATTGAGAGCCAGGTCTTGCCATCCTCGCCTTCTGATTCTGCTTTGTCTAAGACAGAGTGTCTGTGCTTCCGGCCGCCCATGGCACGTCCAGTCTTCGAATGCGTCATTCAGATATGTGCTTTTCTCCCGCCCTCCTTGCTTGTTGTCCTTTGTTAAAGCAGGAGGAATATTGGGATTGCATGGCTCTAGCAACGGTAAGTTCTGAAGCCAAGAAAGCACCGTGCTAAGAAAAATAAACAATAAGATCCTCGGTTTGAGGGCCAAATACTTGTGATTCACAAAATTCCCCCAGATTAGAAAACTCCCCCCCCCCCATTTTTTTTAACCAAACAGAGAGATTATTACATCTGAATTCACTAAGCCAGAACCTACATAAACAAAAGGAATTGGAGACCGGAGGAAATCACCCACGAAGCCAATTTCGATGAGCCACACATATCGGTTACCCTCTAGATCAGCGGTTCTCAAACTGTGGGTCGCAACCTCTTTGGGAGCTGAACGACCCTTTCCCAGGGGTCGCCCGATTCATCCCAGGAGCAAAATGACAGTGATGAAGTAGCAAGGAAAATAGTTTTATGGTAGGGGGGGGTCACCACCATGTGAGAAACTGTGTGAAAGGTCACGGCATGAGGAAGGTTGAGAACCACTGCTCTGGATGTTTGATTCTTCTAACATTTTAATTGTCTGCTAGTATCTACCTGAATTTTCTCAAAATGGGCCAAGTCCATGTGACTGGCTGGGAAAGCCCAGCAAGAGGGGCTGGTCTTCGCCAACCACAAGATTGTGCCATTAAACCCAAAGGGCAACCCATCCCCCCTCCGTGGGAGAAGACGGAGCCCTTGACACCCCTGGCAACCCCTGGGGGCGGTTCTCCGTCCCGCAGGGTTGCTATGAGTTGGACTTGATTCCGTTCCACAGTGGTGAGATTTTTTGTGGGGCGGTGGATATGTAGAGTCTGGGGAGCCCAGGTGTGGGGGTCGTTTGGTACGAGTCTTCGTTCCCCAACAGGGTATCAGCTCCTCGAGCCCGACCTTCTCTTGAAGCTGGAAGAGGAGTTGTCCAGGAGGCTAGAGGAAGCCAGAGAAGCCAAGGAGTTACAAGGTGAGGCCAAAGGGGGGCTGGGAGTTGGGGAAACCTCTGGGAGCGGCTCTCCCTTCAGGTGTTCGTATGGCTACCGCCTCAGGAGGCCCATCCGGCTCCTGTCTGAAGCTTGTCTTTCCTGGGCAAGAGCCCCTCTCCTGCCCAGCTCTGAGGTGGCCCCGTGGCAGCTCCAGCGTTGCTCCTGCCCAGGACGCGCCGTCGAGGCAGCACCTGGTGGCCTCGCTCCTTCCCTTGTTCACGACTTCCTTCTTGCTCAGTCACTTGCCCATCCTGCCTCTTTAACCAGGACTAGCCAAGACCTGTGGCGTGACACGCCTCTTCCCATTTCCCCCCCACACCAACCCCGCAGACTTGCTGAGACCCAGGGTCACTTTCCCTTCCCCTGGGGACCCCCGCCCTCTGACTGCCACCCCACAGCCACTGCCAGCACACATACTGGCACACGCTGCTCCAGAAGGCCCTCAGAGACCCCCAGGGTCCTCGCGGCTCAAGGATGAGAACCTTCTAGGCTTTACCTTCTTCCAACCGCTTGGCTGCCATCTGATGGTGCTTCCTAACCCTCCGGGAATCCCCCTCCTCGTGGCGTGGGGACACTGTGGGTGTCCGCTGGGAGGAGCATTGTCCTTCAGTTGTAGTTCACGGACATCCCACACCCAGCTGGCTTCCGCCGCTGTGGTCCTGTTCGTGTGCGGTACGGCACGGAAGAGGTCAGCCAGGCTTCTGACGTGCTTGGCGTTGGGGGCTTGGTGGTGTCCCCAAGGACCTCGTTCCAGATTCTCCTTCCTATCTGGCGTCCCCTCCCGCCAGCAAACCCTCTAGGATGTGTGTGCTGTTGCCTTGCTCCTGTTCAAAGCCAACTACATGGAACAGGGACTTCCTAGAAGCGCGGGAAAGCCTTTCACCGAAGCCTTTGACCCTCTCTTTATTTTCCACTGTCCACATGCGGTCTCGCCCCATTCCGGAACCAGCCACTATGTCCAGAGGACAAAAGCCTGACTCACAGCCATGGATGGAGTCGATTCAGAGTCATCGTGGCCCCTAGAGGAGAGAGTAGGACACACACACACACCCATCACCACCAGTGGGTTCCTGAGGCTGGAAATCTTTACAGGGGCGGCAAAAACCCTCATTCCCACCCACCCCCAGCACCTAGTGGTTTCAAACAGACTTCATGGTTAGAAGCCCAACATGTACCCACTATGCCCGTAGGGGCCCAAAGGACAAGCTAGTGCTAATGAACCCCCTCCTCTTCCTCCACCTGGGAGCTAGGCAGAGAGTCAGCCTCTCCTGTACTGGTAAAGAAGTGGGGGCCCACATAGAATCCAGCGAGCTACCAAGGCGACAGAGACCCTCGTGGCTTCCTTAAGGAAGCCCTCCGCTGCTAACGGAGGGGTGGATGGTTCGAACCCACCAGCAGCTCCTTCTGTTCAAAGAACAGCAAATAAGAAGAAACCTTATGTTCCAATGGCAAGGAGTTTCGATTATTAACACTCGGAGACCCTATGGGGCAACCTGACTCTGTCCTGTAGGGTTGCGATGAGTCAGAATCAGCTAATTGGCCATGGTGTGTGTGTGTGTGTGTGTGTGTGTGTAGCTAGTACACAGAGTTTGCTCCTACCACACACCCAGCTAAACTAGTACAAGAAGACCCGGTGGCAACGTGGGTCAGCATCTGGCTGCTAAAGAAAGCCTGGAGCATGAACCCACTAGTGGTTCTGGGGGAGAAAGACCTGTCAATCTGCTCTTGACCTGCCGTCACCAACCAAAACCAAGTTCACTGCCAGAGAGCCTATGGGACCAGGGCAGCCCTGCCCCTGTGAGTTTCCGAGACTAGCTAGTTATGGGAGCCGAAAGCCTTGTCTATCGCCCAAGGAGTGGCTAGTGACTTTGAACTTCAGACCTTGGGGTTAGCAGTCCAGTGCATAGTCACTACACCGCCACTTTGTTACTGTTGTCAGGTGCCCCTGGGGCAGTTCTGACCGGTAGCCCCCTCTGACAGCAGAAGGAAGCACGGCCTGGCTCTGTGCCATCTTCACGACTGTTCCCACACTTGAGCCCATCCCTGCAGCCTCTGCGTCATTCCATGGCCTTCTTTCCTGCTGCCCGTCTGCTGTACCAAGCATGATGTCCTTCTCCAGGGGTCGATATCTCCCAGCAGCATGACCGAAGTCCGTAAGACGGAAGTCTGGCCATCTTGCTTCTGAGGAGCACTCTGGCCCTCCTCCTTCCAAGACAGAGGTGTTTGCCCTTTTCTCAGTCCGTGGTGCTCTTGACACTCTTCTCCAGCACCGACATTCAAACACTGAATTGTCTGCAGTCTTCCTTCCGCGGTGTCCAACGCTCACATGCATATGAGGCGACTGAAAATACCTGGGCTGGGCCCGGCGCACCTTGGTCCTCAAAGTAGCATCCTGGCGCTTCGACTCTTTAAAGAGGCCCATGCAGCAGATTGACCTCAGCCGATTTGTCTTTTGAGCTGTTGACTGCTGCTTCCATGAGCACTGATTGTGGGTCCAAGCAAGACAAAATCCTCGACCACTTCC